GTTTGAAGTTATTTGGCCCAATAGTTTTAGAGGAGAATGTTCTTGAAATAGTTAACGTCGACAACGGACGCCGACGGATGCAAGTGATGGCAAAAGCTCACATAGGGCCCTTCGGGCCTCATGGTGAGCTAAAAAGAAACAAATATTCTGAGAGTATTGCATGGCAATACAAAGTCTCGCAGTTAAAAATTCATTGTACAGGAACAAAATGCTAACTTGATTTATAACTTGTCATGGTGTAAACAATATATAACAAATATCAAGTCAATATCTTCAAGCATGATGAAAAAAAGTGTGGAAAACTGATTTGCCTCACGGACTGACAAACAGACAGACAGACAGACAGACAGACTGACCAACAGACTGACCTAGGGAAGGACAAATGGACAGATGGACGAACAGACAGACAGACGGACACAGACAGATAGACAGACAGATATAAACTTAATGCCCTAAAGAACATTCAGTTAAAGTTTGAAGTTATTTGGCCCAATAGTTTTAGAGGAGAATGTTCTTGAAATAGTTAACGTCGACAACAGACGCCGACGGATGCCAAGTGATGGCATAAGCTCACATAGGGCCCTTCGGGCCTCATGGTGAGCTAAAAAGAAATAAATATTCTGAGAGTATTGCATGGCAATACAAAATCCTATACCAGTTAAAAATTCATTGTATAGGAACAAAATGCTAACTTGATTTATAACTTGTCATGGTGTAAACAATATATAACAAATATCAAGTCAATATATTCAAGCATGATGAAAAAAAGTGTGAAAAACTGATTTGCCTCACGGACCAACAAACAAACAGACAGACAAACAGACAGACGGACGGGTGGACAGACAGACAGACAGACAGACAGACAGACAGACAGACCTAAATTCCCCTAAGACTTTGTGGGTAAGGGACTTATAATTACCAAACCTACCCTAATAAAATTAAAGTTAGAATGTATGTGTATACAATTCTAACTTCATATCATGATATTTCTTTTAAACTAGATTAAAACTAGACAAAGTGATGCCCTGCACTCCAAGTCTCTGAAGTAACTGTATTATAACAAAGTCAATGTGAGACTTTCTTTGAGATATTATTGTGTTTGGGAGACATAAATGATGTCCCCTCAGATGCAAAGTGTTATTTTAAAATACACAAAGTTGAGTATGAGAGCACATAGGTTTATGGTTCATTGAAGGAGGAGTTTTCCCGAAATGCTAAGCACCTCTTATGCAAGTATATACTCCAAAAAATGACAAAGTTTAACTATCTCCAAAAAGAGAAAATATTAATAACAAGAGTGCACACGCTGAAATGTCTTGCCTTCTTTACTAATCATTGATATTATGTTGATAGTTCTAAATATAAAGCTTTACTACAATTATCACATAAACTTAACATGATCCAAGAAAATGAGGTCAAGGTCATATAAACCAAACAAGAAATACATGTACACCTTAGAATCATTCAATACACTAAATATAGTTGACCTATTGCTTTTAGTTTCTAAGATACAGACTTAACCAAGAAAACTAAACATTGACTAATGAACCATGAAAATGAAGTCAAGGTCAGATGAACCATGCCAGGCAGACGTGTACAGTTTGCAATCCTTCCATACAACAAATATAGTTGACCTATTGCTTATAGTAATAGAAAAACAGACCAAAACACAAAAACTTAACACTGAGCTATGAACTGTGAAAATGAGGTCAAGGTCAAATAAAACCGGCCAGACTGACATGTACATCATAAAATATTTCCATACACCAAAAATAGTTGACTTATTGCATATAGTATTAGAAAAAAATTCGTAAGGGTTCCGCGGAACCCAGTGTCTCGCCTACTTTTGCTGTTAATCACAGGCTCAACAAAAATGAGGAAAAAAATTAATAAAAATATTCCTCTCTATACTATCTTTTGATTGTAAGTAGCTTCTGTCCAAGTTTGGTAAAAATCCAGGATAGTTTATGAATCTAATAAATGTTTTAAAAACTTAAACTGCAGACTGTATGTAATGTTAACTGGAAGAAAAACTAAGTCCATTTATAAGTAAAATACGCAAAAAATGGAACAAAATTTTAACAAAATTTCCTGTTAGATACTAAGCTTTTAATCATAAACAAGTTTCTGTCCAAGTTTGGTACAAATCCAAGACAGTTTAAGAAAGTTGTTAAAATTTTGAAAACTTTCACCATAGAGTGAATGTAATGTTAACTGGCAGAAAAACTAAGTCCATTTATAAGTAAAATACGGAAAAAAATGATTTTTTTCTACAAAATTTACTTCTGGATACTATCTTATGATCATAAACAAGCTTCTTTCCAAGTTTGGTAGAAATCCAGGACAGTTTAAGAAAGTTATTAAAATTTCAAAAACTTTAACCACAGAGTGAATGTAATGTTTCCTGGCAGAAAAACTAAGTCCATTTATAAGTAAAATACGGAAAAAATGGAATTTTTTTTTTTACAAAATTTCTTTTGGATATTATCTTTTGATCATAAACAAGCTTCTGTCCAAGTTTGGTAAAAATCCAGGATAGTTTAAGAAAGTTATTAAAATTTCAAAAACTTTAACCACAGAGTGAATGTAATGTTAACTGGCAGAAAAACTAAGTCCATTTATAAGTAAAATACGGAAAAAATAGAATTTTTTTTTTACAAAATTTACTTTTGGATACTAGCTTTTGATCATAAACAAGCTTCTGTCCAAGTTTGGTAGAAATCCAGGATAGTTTAAGAAAGTTATTAAAATTTCAAAAACTTTAACCACAGAGTGAATATTTGTGGACGCCGCCGACGACAACGACGACGACGCCGACGGAATGTAGGATCGCTATGTCTCGCTTTTTCGACAAAAGTCGAAGGCTCGACAAAAAGACCAAAACTCACAATTTTACATTGACCACTGAACCATGAAAATGAGGTCAAGGTCAGAAGACATCTGCCAGCTAGACATGAACACCTTACAATCATTCCATACACCAAATATAGTAGACCTATTGCATATAGTATAAGAAAAACAGACCAAAACACAAAAACTTAACTATAACCACTGAACTATGAAAATGAGGTCAAGGTCAGATGACACCTGCCAGTTAGACATGTACACCTTACAGTCCTTCCATACACCCAATATGCTAGACCTATTGCTTCTAGTATCTGAGATATGGACTTGACCACCAAAACTTAACCTTGTTCACTGATCCATGAAATGAGGTCAAGGTCAAATGAAAACTGTCTGACAGGCATGAGGACCTTGCAAGGTACGCACATATCAAATATAGTTATCCTATTACTCATTATAAGAGAGAAATTAACATTACAAAAAATCTTTATATTTTTTTTTCAAGTAGTCACTGAACCATGAAAATGAGGTCATGGACAATGGACATGTGAGACGGAAACTTCGTAACATAAGGCATCTATCTACAAAGTATGAGGCATCCAGGTCTTCCACCTTCTAAAATACAAAGCTTTTAAGAAGTTAGCTAACGCCGCCGCCACTGGATCACTATCCCTATGTCAAGCTTTCTGCGACAAAAAGTCGCAGGCTCGACAAAAATCAAAACCCTGACCACATGCACATCTTCAATATATGTACAAACTGCCAGCAAAGTGAAAACTTCTTAGCATTCAAACTGTAAGAGTAGTTATCTGGAATAACTATATTCCCATAATGGGACAGACGGACAGACGGATGGACAGGGGTAAAACAATATGCCCCCAACTTTTAATTGCGGGGGGCATAAAGAGTTATACACTTAAAGTTTAAAATACTATTGAAAGATCATAATTTAAATTATTCATGTTTACATAGAAGTCTTTTGTTTATACTTGTGTTGTGTTGTTTTGTTTCTGTATCATATATACAAATGTACTTACCATCCATTTCTTTCATTTTTTTTTTATCTATTTTACCAAATTTCCATATATATATAGATACATGTATATAGAACAAAACCATAAAAGATATTTCTTGTGATTGAGAAATCAAATTTCATATGCTGGTATATATATTTATCTTACCTCCTATACATTTCTAAGAATATGATTGGTTAAAAGCAACCGCGTGGAGACGGTGTATATTCCATATAAGGTCAGTAGACAGGGCTTATTTCAATACACGGTTAGTAGTGGTGTTACGTCCCTTTATAAAAACAAAACGGTACTGAGAAAAAATCTTAAAGGTTTCAACAGACGAAGAAATTGATGATGAAAGATTGGAATAAATTCATAAAACACATTTAAAGCTAACAAGTTTTTATTGTTGGCATTTGTTTTTTTGTATGACCAATGGAAGTAGTTTCTTAATGCTAACGGAATGAAGACTTGCTCACTTTGATAGGTCACTAGTCTAAATACCACATGTTAAGATATTCAGTGAGATAAATTCGTTACATAGTGTGCTAGTGATGTAATACGGTATATATGGGGTCAGTAAATACCATATGGGGATTCAAACTTCGCTCTCACCCCATATGGAATTTACTGACCCCATCTATACCGTATTAGGTCACTAGCACACTATGTAACTAATAGAATTATCAGAGAACAATTTAGAATATGGACAACATAAAACTTTTTTTTATCTTTTCATTGGAATGAATAGTGGAATATATATATATATCATAATGGAGAGTATGGATGGGGTTTTCAGAATAGAGAATAATTGACAAAAAAGTGCAGAATAAAGGGCAAACAAATAAAGAATAGAGAAACAACTGCAAAAATAATACAGAATATTGAATAATGGGGCACACAAATATATTGAATAGAGATAATATAAATGGGCAAAATAAATATTGAATAGAGAGAAAAATTGTCTAATATTTAAAGAATAAAGACATAAAGGACCCCCTCAGTCATCCAAACCCTCATTTAGCAGAACAGTAAAAGGATAATAATCTACTTTCAAGGAGTGTATTACATGTATTATATGTGGACTTTTTCAAACAATTTCATACATTCCCCATATCTTTAACGATGCTACCAAATACTTACATCTGTCCATTATTAAGTTGTCTTTTAGGTCACATTGCATTTCAAGCTGATGTTCAATACTTGCACACCTAGAAAAAAAAATTCTGCAAAAATAAGATAAAACAGTCTTGTGAAATTTAGGCAAACTGTCATACTAGTATAGATACAGAATCGTGTGACTTCTAACAGAAAATTAACATCACATCAATGAGAAATTGCAAAAAGGAAATAAAATTATTCATTTGTCACTATCTTTGTTGATGATACATGAGGGCTTTAGCCGCCTTATTTTTACATGTTCACAAATCAGTATCTAGGAGAGCAGTAACATAGAGGCTCTGCACCCTCCCCCTGAAATTTTGCGCCCTGGTGCTCTTTAGGGAACCTTTTTCAAGTAAGGAAAGAGTTTAAATATTATCTATCATGATGCCTTAATCATCAACCATTCATCAGATGTCCTCACATCTAAGGGAGCTACCATTTGAAATTTATGGGGGGGCTAGGATGAAATTTTTAAAAAAAATGGCAGGAAGGAGTTTTGGGTAAAATAAAATGTTAGGATGAGCAACTTGGCAAAAAAAAGGCAGGAAGACAACTTATGTAAAAAAAAGTCAGGATAAATTTAATTTAATAAAAATTAAAAGGCCGGACAGAGATTACAACTAAAAAGAATGCAGGACAAAATTTTTCATCCTAGCCACCCCCCCTAAAAATCAAATGGTTAGCTCCCTAATAAAAGATGATTTAATTGATCATTGAAATGTGTGTCAGAGTGAGAACTTCTCAATGTTCATTTCTTTAGGAATATTTATTACCCTAATTTAATGTTTTTATTGTCTTTAAGTGACTGACACAGTACTGAGGATTAAACTTTCATATCTCTTCATTTATATCTACAAATTCTAATGATGTTTCACATCCTAGGGGATTAAAACCCATGAAGTTGAAATTTTTCACACATAATTGACTAATAGTAGTAATTGGGAATGTAAACATCTAATAATGTTTTTCCCAGTAGGCAGTTTAACCAAACTTCAGATAGACAAGACATAATAAATCTATTATACTATAAACACAGCATGCACAGGACATGTGATCCTACCATAATGATGAACTGAGTCTATACTGTCCCTTTAACAAATAATGCAAAGTTAAACTTTTGTTATCTAGATTGTGAATTTTAAAAATTTTAAACATTCTTAGTTTGTTGGAAATAAATCATGTAAATATAAGTTATAAAATTATACTTAATCTGTAGAATTTTTTTATTAATGAAAAAAAAAAGAATGAGCATAAATGATTAATCTATAAACATCATCATGACAAAGATTACAGTCGATCTGGGTAATTTCGTGCAGGCAGGTAAATACCATACATATTACATTTCGCTTGTTTATCAAACAGGGAACCAAATGACTTTCATTTAGGACCAAAAGTGTACGGAATTACCCCAACCGACTCTAATGCAAGATCAACCTCCTTGGTAAGATATGTACATGCATTCATACACTGGGGCTCCAGTAGGGGGGCTAGGATGAAATTTGAAAAAAAAAGGCAGGACAGGAGTTTTGAGTAAAAAAAAAGGCAGGATGAGACACTTTGCAAAAAAAAAAGGCAGGATGACAATTTATGTAAAAAAAAGTCAGGATAAACTAAAAATAAAAAAGGCAGGACCGAATAGAGTGAAAAATAAAAAGGCAGGACAGAGATTACAACTAAAAAAAAATGCAGGACAAAATTTTTCATCCTAGCCCCCCCATAAAAATCAAATGGCAGCTCCCTAATAATGGATTGTTGAGACTTTTTATCAGGTTATATGTCTATACATTGTAGAAAATTGTAAATAATATGGAAAAAAAGACTTTTTTTTACAGTGGGCCCAATAAGGAGGGTCCATGCCCCAAATACCTGTGATGTAGATGAATAAAAAATAGGGATTTTGTGCAAGTAAAGCCTAGATCTTTGAATAAAAAATAGGGATTTTGTGCAAGTAAAGCCTAGATCTTTGTAAAAAAAAACAGACTTTTAATTAGTTTTATCTATTACAGATTTTCATTATAAAATTTAATTTACTTAAGTATTATGTCCATGCCAGCATTTATCGTTTACAAAAAGTCCTACACAAAATTTAATTAAATACAATCCAGTCAAGCACACCTTAAAAGGTGTACTTGAATAGGTCCATATTTAGTAGTCTTGATTTAATGAATTATCTTTATTTTTGAATTTTAAATTTGTTTTATTAAACTGTATAAGGGAAACTATTGCTCTCTATCTATTAAGCATTGACTTTATTGTGGTCGAGCAGATGACAAAAAAATATTCTAAATCCAGATTTCCCCATACCTTTACCCTCAGTAGGAACAGTATATCTAACATAATATAAATGAATATGTTCCTGCTTTACCTTAGGATCATTTTCCAACTGAAGTGGTTCATCTGAAAAAGGTGGAATTTACAGAATAGGTAACAGGTAACAGGTCTGTGGAATCGGAACAAACATTCTCACCTTTAATCTGTTAAAGTTTGATCTACAAAAAAAAGAGTCAAGAAAGACTGTGGCAGGCCGCAGTGTCGATAGAAAAAGCGTCTGTTATCCAAATAAATCAGGGAACCAGTTCAGGATAGACAAACTTTTTGTGACCTTGAAGATGCAGGTCATGCAGAGCTTTGCTGAATCAATATATCCCGGACAGGAGCATGTTGTTGAAATGATTTCAATATTTATATATATATGGTAAACATTTAGTTAAAACAAGTGTGAGAGCAACGTACGTTTAAAGAGGGACTGGATTTTTGTTTGGGGGGGGGGGGGGGGTCTAAGGTATAGATAAGGGACCACCATTTGATTTTTATGGTGCTAGGACCCTATATACAGGATGAAAAATTTTGTCCTTCATTTTATTAGATTGCCATGTATTTTTCACTCTATTCGATCCTGCCTTTTTTTGTATTAAAATTGAGAATGGAAATGGGGAATGTGTCAAAGAGGGGTAAATTCAGTAAATAAATATACGTCATCAGGGACCGCCCATTTGGGGGAGAGCTTTCTGTATAAAACTGAAGTCATGTGCTCTTCTGATTGGTAGATAATGTTTGTAATAAATATTTTTTGATAGATGGATAAAAACTAGAGTTGAAAAAAAATAAAAAATAAATGCTGAATGTACTAAATTTTTTTACTACAGGGTTGAAGAGTAATGGGGGTCAGTGAAGGAATTAAGTGCGAATCTACAGTGTTTGTAAACAAGGCCATGTGAATGCCCAAAAATGCCGCATGACCCTATGTTTTTATTGTTGCAAATGATAGGGCTACATTTGTACTTTCATGAATGATATATGAAATTTTCTAATTTCTAAAGGTAAATCAGGTATAAATTTAATTCAAGACATAGATTAGCATTACAGTCAATGGGAGATTTTTTACTGAATTTACCCCAAGAGACAACAACCCGACCAAAGAGCAGAAAACAGCCAAAGGCAAAGGCTACCAACAGTTTTCTGGTGTTAAAAAAACCCAGTTTACAGGGACTTCTTTTTTCTATTTCAAATTTTAAAGCATGAAATCTGTACAATGCGCACATTTTAACTGAATCAGTAGTATTATTCTATTAATGTAAATACTTAAAGTGAAGCCTTCGCCCTTGTTTTTTTCTAAAACTCAAAAACACAAATCTTTTGTTTAGGAGTCAATTGACCAAGTTGCATGCTCCAGGTGTAACTGACCATAACTGAATTATATTCACTTCTATTGAAAATTTCTATTCATTGAATTTAAATGTCCAAGTGATTAACTTATCTTTTTGTCATCTTATAATTGATGATCAAGGTATGAATTGGTGACCAAAGGAATTGTTTTGTTGTGAGTTGAGTATCAAATTAGACTTGAAATTAGCTTGATTTTTGAACTAATAAAAACACTTGCTATCATAAAGCATTGTTATCACATGTAGAATGTGCATTTTGTAGATTTCAGAGGTGGATTTAAGGGGGGGCCCAGCGGGCCCGGGCCCCCCATTTGTGGGAAACATTTGGTTGATTATATAGGCAATCACTGAAGCATGACTGGAGCGGCCCCCTCTTAGGCAGTCAGTGGGCCCCCACTTATGAAAATTTCTGGATCCGCCACTGGATTTCATACCATAAATTGAATAGAAAAAAAGAAGTCCCAGTATACTGAAAACAGGGAATACCCCACTTTTCCTGACTTGAGCCCAACCTGACCAATGGGTCTTCAACATAGCGAGAAAATTCCGCACCCGGAGGCGTGCTTCATCTGGCCCCTTATTAAAAATGTGTACTATTTCATTAGTTTATCCTGACTTTTTTTTTTTACATAAATACTAAAATAGTCATCCTGCCTTTTTTTTGGCCAAAGTGATGCATCACACCTTTTTATTACTCAAACTTGTCCTGCCTTTTTTTCAAATTTCCTTCTGATATATTTTTTTTTTATAGTCTAGTTGCATAATGTTTATTATTTGAACAGAGTATGTTAAAGTTTGTTGAAAAATTTGCCGAATATTTGTATTTGCTGCAACCAAAAATGAAATATAAATTATTTTCCTTTAATTTGCATAGTGGAATACTGGAATACATTGTACTTATGATGGTATTGATATTTGTTCACAATTTTATTAATTCTGGTTAGTAAATTTGATAACAATATGAATTTATATCTTTTTCAAGTTTTAAAATTTGTACATCATTGTTTTTACTCATTCCAAGCTGACTATATAGCTAGTTTATCAAAATAAAATGTTGTTTTTATTATTAATCCATTACAACAATCAGTGAGAATTATTATTTTGAACAATTAATGCTCTAAAACAAATCTTAACATGCTTAAGCCTACAACTTTTAAATATTTCCAGAATTTATACCATATAAATATCTGAATAAGTTTTTTAAAGTTTAATACCCATAAAACAATATGTTTTAATAAAAGTAGGGAGAACGGAACCCTAGGTAAACGGACTCTATGGGCGAACGAACTCAGGGCGAACAGACCCAGGGCAAACATGTAATCAGGGCAAACAGATTTTGTTAATGTGATTTATATTCTTAATTAGAACAGGCTATACATCAAAGAATATAATTTAATGTAATAAAACCCCAATCTTTATCCAAATCCTCATATTGTATATATATATGTAATTTTCTTTCCTGTTTCAATCAAATATAATTATATACCTACTTTTTGTGTAGTCAAAGAAGAAATTTAAATTTCTTCTCTTTATTAAGTGGGTACAATCTTGTTTCCTTTATTTTGTGTCTGCTTATATTGACATTTTGATTCAATAATGTCAAAAACATAATACAAGCAATATTCCAGAAAACAGTTGGGCACTCAAGGGAGTTATTTAATTCTATTCATATGATCATGTATATTATTATATAGACATGTATAATATATATTTTTGTCTGAAGTCATTATTTGGGTCAAAACAAAACAAAAATATTCTGAACCTATGTTAAGTTTAGTAAATAATGATTTAGTACATGTATACCAGTAAATATATATGTAAATGTTAAAAAAGACAACCAACTGTCTGTTAATAACATGTTTAGTTAAAATGGATAAATGTTATGTAAAACAAACAACAAACAAACAAATATTTTATGTGCCAATCACGGCTCCCAAAATGAGCAGAATAATTACAATATAATTGCAAACATAATATAAAAGTAAATTAAAAATAGTTTAAACAAAGTACATAACATGATTTAATTGATTAATATATAATATCAAAGTAACTGAAATAAGTCATTTGTTATAATAAAAATATATAATATGACCCATTGTTTGTTATTCTGGACCCTTATTGGACAGTACACCTCACAGCATACCAATTTTTAATTAAATGTAAATAGTAACTATTGTAAATGCATATATGATCATATATATCTATAACTCTATATAAAGTATTCTAATTTAGTATTGTATTCCTGTTTTTATTTAAAACCTCCAATAATTGACAAATAATTATCAAAATATTTTTATCTTCATTTCCCATTAACCAAATAAACAGAGATTTGTTATCAAGTTTTGAAATATTTTTATTTTTACTAAATATTTTGCTTAGATAGGGATTTCTAACATTAACCAAAGCTTTACATGTTAAAAGAAAATGCATCTCATCTTCTACTTCCTCATTACAGAGTTTGCATATTCTATTTTCTAATTTTATATTAAAGTAACGACCTTTTTCTATTTCAAGTTTGTGAGCTCCAATTCTAAATCTTGTTAAGACACATCTGTGAAGATATGGTAATTTCAATAAGTATGGCTCAAAATTAAAGTTTGGTTTGAATAATCGATAAGTTCGAAGTTTATTTCCAGAGGTCTTATTTTGTCTTTTACCATTGAATAATTCTTTCTTCCATAAGTTACAATATTTTAAATATAATTTCTTTTTCACCATATTCTTAATGTTTGTTTTAGATGAGAGTACTTGATACTCTTGTAAATCCAGCAATTTCAGGATAGCATGAATACAACTAGTCCAAGAATTCTTCCCAGCTTTCGATAATGTATTTGAGAGAGAATGCATTTGTTAATAAAATATTATTTGTGATATGAATTCTTTTCCAATATTTGATCATGTTTGTTAAAATATCTAACATTAGAGGATAACGACCTAATTCACCAAATATGGCCAAATTTGTTGCATGCTTATTCACTCCTAATGTAAATCTGCAGAATTTTAGATGCACTTTCTCGATTTACAGATCTTTACAAAGTCTATAGAAATAATTTAGTTCTGTGTCATTCTTTAACTCTTTGAATTAAAACAACCCCATATTTCTGAACCATATAATAATACGGGTTTCACTGTGTCATTAAAAATGTGCATTAGAGTGGAGATATTAGCTTTATAATTAGTAAAATATTTGGTATATTTAAAGAAAGCTTTTAAACCTTTTTTATATAACATATTTTTGGCTTCTGAAAAGCTGTCAGATACACTAAAAGTTATGCCAAGATAAGTATAATGTTGGGTATTTTGGATGTATGTGTCTTTATATGAAAGCTGTGCATCTGTAATACGGCCAGATGTATTAAAAACTATAGATTTCGTTTTTTTTAAATTAACTTCTAAACCCCAATTTTCACAATGTGTAGATCTATGTGTATTCATGTACATTTGTAGCCTCCATAAAAACATTTGGTTTTACACTTCAGCTGTGATCTCCTATAATGTTACTGTTCCACAACATTTTAGGGTCAGAGAAATTTAATGCTTGATTGGGAGCAATTATTTGTGGTCACTAAAACTAAAGAAATTTATTGCTTTTAATTGATTGACCATGTGCAGCTGGTAAGAACATAATCAGCTGATTTACAATAATAACATGAGCCTCCTGATTGTCAACAAAGACAAAATATTTTATTTCCTCAGACAAAACGTGTACAAGAGGTCAAAACATGATAAAGTATACACATAAATCGACAGCAGAGTAATGTATAATAGCACTGGATTTTCATGACATTGAGATGTATACATTATATATTAGAGCCAGTGCCAAAGTTTCTCCTTTTTCTTTTATTCTTTAGAATTTATAATAATTATTTACTATGGGGAAAAAGTTTAAGCTACTTTTTTCTGCCTTTGTTATTTGTTTGGTCAGACAATCAACTTGCTTAGTACTTGTACTTTTTAATTTATTTAAAACTGATGTCCTTCAATCCAAAGGAGAGACATAAAATACATTAAGACATCTACAGGGAATTGAAAGTAATAGAGAAACTATTTTAATAATATGGCATGATACTAAAATA